TGCGGTTTCTACAAATGAGATCGATATTCTACTGCAACATTTAAATTCTATTGAGCCGTCCATCCAATTCACGGTAGAACGTGAGATAAATGGACATTTAGCTTTTTTAGATTTGAATGTGCACAGAACTGTCGAAGGGAAGTTAGAGACTGATGTTTATCGCAAACCCACACACACAGACAAATACTTGTCATACGACTCTCATCACCCAGTAAGCCATAAAAGATCCGTAGCAAAAACTTTGCTTCAAAGAACTGAATCGTTGGCGTCAAACAGTGATTCTCAAACTAATGAACGTGAATATGTTCTAAATGTTTTAGGGGGAAACAATTACCCAAAGCGTTTTCTTAATGATTGCCTGAGACCACCTGTTTGTAGGAACCAAATTAACTCCGAGGGTGATACCTCTGTTAAGGGTTTTGCAATAGTTCCATACATTCAAGGTGTTACAGAACCAATCAAGAGAATCTTAAGTAATTGTAAAATTAAGGTTGCCTTAAAACCCTATTTGACTTTAGGCCATATTTTCGCAAAGCCAAAAGATCCTGTTGAAACAAATCAGAAGACTCATGCTATATATTCTATACCATGCGGTGACTGCGACAAAGAGTATTTGGGTCAGTCTAAACGCCAGTTTGGTACACGGCTAAAAGAACATCAAAAGGTTGTTTCAACTTTAGACAAGGGAAAATCAGCTTTAGCCGAACATGTATGTTACACCAAACACGAGATTGCGTGGGAAAACTCTAAAGTAATTACCACAAACAATCGCTACGGTCAAAGACTTTGCCTAGAAGCGTGGCATATAAATATGAGTCATCATGCTTTGAATAGGGATGACGGCGCCTATTTGCCAGAGGAATATATGCATCTTCTTGGCAGGTGACGTCATCCCTTGGGTATTTAAGAAGCCACGATCGCAGTTTTAGATCACCCCTGATGAAGACACTAGACTGGAGTGTCGAAACGTTGGGTCTAGATTACAATTCGACTGGGCTTTGTAATCATTTATTTAAACCAGAATAGCGAGCGAAACATGATTGATATACCTGGTTGCAGTGAACGAACAAACTTTATAACAATAATTTTGCCATGTTCATTATCCACGAGAGTTCAAAGTATAATTTTTAAGATCCAGGCTTAATACTTGGCTAAACGAATAGACATGGTATATTTTCGACTAAAGTCCACTGCGAGCGTGGTAATTAACTGGCATAATTTTATAAACTTCTTATCATTTAAAATTATCTTTACTTGGCAGGAAGTCATCGTATTGTTTGTGCTTGAAAGAGGCTTACTGTAGTTTACAAAACTGTAGTTTACGAAACGAAACGAAATCTGCAGTTTGCGAAATCTGCAGTTTGCGAAATTTGTAATTTGCGAAATCTGTAATTTGCGTAATCTGCAGTTTGCGAAATCTGTAATTTGCGAAATATCTGTAGTTTAGGGTAAAATAAAAAATGTTCACATGTTCCGAGGGCGAGGCGTCAACAGTACAATTAAATTCTGTGCAAGTTAACCTAGTTAATTAAGAACCTACCTGACTACACGAAGTCATAATTGCGATAAAACCTTATCACAATAAATTGCTTTACTTGTATAAGTTATATTTCAGTGGCAGTGTCAAATAAACTTCTTTATATAATTATATGTCTGAGACTGCAAAATGTAAAAGTTTAAGATTGAAAATACACCATTGCCAGCAAATTGATTGGAAATTTTGCCCTGACTATGGGATTTTCCAGGAAATTCTTCAGATGCATGGTCAAGTGGATCGCAGCCGCGAGGTTTGACATAAAAATGGTTGTTGGTGATCGCATCGAAAACTTTCGAAAAGGTAAACATTTTTTTTACTTTCTGCTATATGTTTTCGCAAACTGCAAATTTGAATAGCAATCTATCTAGAGATTTCGCAAACTGCAGATTTCGCAAACTGCAGATTTCGCAAACTGCAGATTTCGCAAATTACAGATTTCGCAAATTACAGTTTCGCAAAGTGCAGATTTCGTTTCGTTTCGTTTCGTTTCGTTTCGTGAACTACAGTAAGCCCTTGAAAGACTATACAAAGAACTTCCTTAATTATGTAATTAAACCAAATATTAAACAGTTCTATTTTGCATAAGTATAAAGAAACTTTTTACAATTTGCATGCTTGCAATTGGTTTGGGTTAACTTGAGAATTAATCCTGAGAAATTCTTTCACCTTGTTCGGAATATCCCACATTATTTATTCTGACTTATAGTTACTTAAATAACTTCTAGTAAAAGTTATGTATACTTTATTTTTCCATTTGATACGACAACGGGCAGAAAATTTGGTTTGGTTGTGCCAACAGACACGTTCATCCAGTTCCAGTTCAGATCCTGAGTGACTGACTCCCGCCATCTGGCTCAGAATTTAAATTGAATTTATTGAAAACAGAATTTGTCTTTGCAACTGATTTACAATTTTTGGAAGTTAACTAAGAGTTATAAGAGTTGTTTACACAAAACAAAAGTGCAAACTAATTTAAAACTAACCGCAAATTAAGTAGTTCGTCATAAATGACGGAATGTATATATGAGTATCATCACTGTTTGAAGCTGTGGATATATCGTTATCTGATTCCGTGGGTGGGGAATTGTGATCTGTGTCTGAAGCCCATCCCAAAATGGGCATGCAGTTTCATTTTCGTGCCTGAACTAAGCGACGATTGAACGGTTTCAACCCATAAAACATGCGGCTCATCTCTCTAGCAATGTACGGTAACGGATTTTGTGAGATGATTGCACTTGCTCGGTAGAACCTATGTAGATCTATATAGACAATCTAGAAGACAGTCTTGGCGATTAAAACTCTATCTGATTATCCTTTTCATTTATTAATCGATGCGCAAATTCAAAACTGAGTGATAATAACGCCGAGTTTGTAGCATAGGGCAATAAAGAATCGAGAAAATGTGAGGATGCCCAGAATGGACCCATGAGGATTTTTTTCCTCTTCCCCCTCTCCCAATGAATTGACATTCTTGCTAAGAGCAGGGTGATTATATGCAAGCAGCACTTGATGGTCCTTGATGGTCAAAGGTCTCTTCGTTGCCTACTTTTGAAAACATTGTTGCTGGCATGGCGAAACAAAATGTGACCACTTGGAAGCAATCCTCGAAATTTCGAAAGTGAAATTTTTGGTGGGGACAACGTTTTCTGTGAATTGTTGAGGTTTTCATCACACCATCTGAAAAAGAAAACTTTCTTAATACTTTGTAAGTTGTTCAAGGAATTAAACCCTCGATATACGGAATTAAGTTGTTCAAGAAGTCGAAATTATAGACTTGTTTCCGGTCGATATATTTGGATATGCCCATCCTCGGTCCCAGGGCCTCACGGCTGACACTGCGTTGCCGTGAGGCCCTGGGAGCGAGGATGGGATATGCCATTTTGCAACCTCGTACCCAGGCTTCTGCGCTTGTGGCTTATTAAGCGCAGAAACCCTGGGTACGAGGTTGGCCCAGACCCGATATTAGTGAGCTTAAGCAAGTGAAGTTTTTGACAACACGAACGGCATGAGTAACGTCAGAAGGCTGGGTCAAGGGCTGTGATTGGTGACAAACGTCAACTTTACTACCGGTCGACGTCCGTGTTGTCAAAAACGTCACTTGCTTAAGATCACTAATGCCGGAGAACTAGGACCCAATTTCCTCAGAAGACTAAAGACTTTAACATTTTGAGCAAAGGCCCTTCGTCCGAAAGTTAATAGCGAGATTAAGAAAGCGACGTTTTTGTCAACAGGAACGTTGACCGGAAGCAAAATTTGACGTTATCAACCAATCAACTTTCTTGACCCAGTCTTTTAACGTTACTCATGCCGTTCGCGTTGTCAAAAACGTCGCTTGCTAGTTAAGCTCACTAATGACACAGAATAGGAAGTTATACCAGAAGCGTCACTCTAGTCGTTTCCCTTATTGTTTGACGTCCACGAAAATTTTAACTCGCTCACGTCAGGCCACGCCATCCTGGCTAGTACAGCCGGAAGTTTTTATCAGGATTTGGTAGGTACAAAGTGCCGGTTGTACTAGCCAGGATGGCGTGATTGATGACGAATCGCTTGTAAAAACGCGGACAAATATTTGCTCGAGTTACGCTTCTGGTATAACTTAATTCCTATTCTGTGCTAATGACTAACTTCGCTAACCTCAAGTTCATGATCACGAACGTCCAGATGAAAGCCTTTGCTAAAAACAGCGAACTTCGACGAAGTATTTTCCAGATTTTTCAGGTAGTTCGACGCAACTTCTCTGTACGTATCAGGGGGGTGTGAGGTCACAGCCCCACCCAACATACACACGCAGCAGTTGCTCCCCTGGGCCATGACGTAGTTTGTATGAATTTTCTAGTCAGCGCATTTTTAATACCGCAGCAGTGCCCCTGATGTCTGAGCTCTATGACCAATAGTTGTGAATTTTTAAATATGATAACAAAACAATAAATTTTATTTAATTAACATTATAAAAAGTGGATCAAACATTTCCTTTGTTCGTTTAAATTTTCTGGTTCAGCCCAATGCGTGACATATTGACGTTTTTAATAAAACACAAAAAGGGGGGTTACTATGCTTGTTATTGTAGTGGGAGTCATATTTCGCACTGTCAGTTTCAAGTGTGCCAATATTTTTAACCAGGATTGTCGGTGGACAGGGTAATAACACTGGAAATTTTTTTCAAATATGAGTCTTAGTTGGAAATAGTATGGAAAGGCTGGAAATCCAATTTTTATACCGCTTTTCATAGTATGGAAATCCAATCCCCCCCTGCATTTCAGTATTTTTATGTTATATTTTATTGCTAATAATTCTTGTCATCGCTTATATATAAAATATTTTATAAACAGCGCCGCCCACGAACAAGCGTCGCTTTCAAATAGTGCCGCGGCGCTTAAACGAGTAAATACGGTAGCCTTTAGCACCCAACTCGCCGCACTGAAAAAAAAACTTTAGAAACGCGTGTTAAACTTAAAATTTTAATTGTAATTACAGCATATGGATTACTAATAGTAATAATAATCTAAAGATAAAGTTTTACATATATGTTACAGGTGTTCAGCAATAGATGCAAGCAATGTGTCTTGCGTGATACGAAATTTGCATGCGAAACTGAGGAAATCTGATTAAATTCTGTGCCATTGAGATCCTCTTGTTAAAATCCCAGGACTACAATCTACAATCTTGAGCTATTAGTTAGCGGTGTTTAGATGAATATTTACACAAGAGTCAACAATATATACAGTCAATACAGTCATGCAGTTAGATGAAAAGCAAAGATGGAGAGGTTCATGAGGTCAATTTCATTCAACTTTAACTAAACCGACAATAACATGCATGCACATCCAACATTGAGACTGACATTACGTTCTACATGCTGACGTCGACCAGTAGTATTAAAAATCTTCATTACTGTTATCGTTGCGACGATGTCCAAACAATCACCTGAAATACCATGTCCACAACTTGTTTTATTCCTCACATTTAAAGGATTACTCGTCATTTTACACTTGATTTCTTTCAGTTGTGATGGAATGTACATGCAAGTAGTACCAAGTGGACAATTGCTTTTGTCCAAACTACGTGTGGTCACAAAGTTTTCTGTTTTATGCATACAGGGATCATTGTATTTGTGTGGTGTTCGTTTTTGTTTTAACCAAGAGATTGTCTCGTCATCATATCTGAAATGTGCGAAAATTATATATATTAAAATGAATATTTCCCAAGTCAAAGCCATGTTACACGGTGCAATTTTTCTTGCAACTTGCAATGCAATGCTACTCTTGAGAGATGTTAATTAGTGAAATCAGTGAAGAATTTTGGAAATGTTGAGAAAACATCAGCGGAGTGTAATAAAGACTCGTATTTGGCAATTTTACATCTCTCAAGAGTAGAATTGCATTGCAAGTTGCAAGAAAAATTGCACCGTGTAACATGACCTTTAGTGCTTCATCAGTATAAGTTGCTAATTAATTCGAACATACTTGTTTTGTTGGGGGAGAGTTGGTGGCGGGGGCAGAACAGGTCCGGCTAGGGGGTTCAGATATATTGATATTCATACCATTTTACTTTTGGTACATATAGTATTTTATTGTGAAAATAGGTTGAAATACAGGTATAAGTATCTCACATTTACCCAAGATCAAGTACTCAGGCAGACAGACTTGGACTGGAATTTTAGGCTGGTATGTTGAACAAGTATTATCGAGTATATTGGTATTCTAGTAACAACAACCATGGCTAGGCCTGCAAGAAACTCGGAGCACGGAGAATTTTGTTTGGAGTCTCTGAAATGGAGTCTCTTAACCCCCACAACAACGGTTTCAGGCCACATAAGATTATTCATAGTGAATATATAATAAACCGTATCGTTATTGTGTAGTGGGGCATAGTCCCCTTTTGGTTATGTCCCCCGATCGTCCAAGAATCCAGATTCCGCCGACTATGAATTTGGAAACATAATCAGGCAGTTGCCCGCTGACCCCCCCCCCCACCCTCTCGCACCCTTTCTCGTACGCCTATGGCTATACGGCCCATGGGACGAGACGAATTCACTAGCGCATGCAGGTAAGAATTCCCATGTGAAAAATGGAACCGGAAAAATTCGCACACGGATATCGATTTCCGATTTCGTCTGGTTTTATGTGAATATGGGCTGTACAGGGTTTTTGTAAATTGTGTGTAATTTCTATACATTATAAGACCTGACCAATTAGAGAAGCTGCAAAAAATGCAACTCTGGTAAAAATCGAACCTGCGGTCTGGCAATTCTGGTACATCGCTTTAACCACAAGCGCACACGGTGTGTATAGTGCGTAGAGCCTTTATAACCCTCTACGTTACAAGTGGAAAGCGCGCTCTTTGTGAGGTAAGGGTTCCATAACCGGCCTTAGTTTTTGTGTCGGATATTAACAGACAAGCCAATAATAAGCAAACGAATGCGATATCATGTACGTCACTGCATCGGGAAATTAACACTTGTTTTATTGTTAAGTTTGAAGTACAAATTAATACCCATAGTTTTCTGTAGCGTGGCGAGTTTTCACTAGTATATAATCAGTTATGCGCCCGAGTTCTGACTAAAGATGCGGTACAACCGTTCGCACGTGTCAGCTTTCAAAAATTGTTTGTGACGCCCAATCGTTGAAGGAAAACGCACTGGGTACGAGGTTCCAATCTTTAAGAAACGTCAGAACTTTTTTCCTTCATTTCGGTGTTTCTATGTTATATTATGTTAATTGTTGCTAATATTTCTTGTTATCGCTTACAGATAAAATTTTTATAACGCGCTGTCCTCAAACAAGGGCCGCCCTCAAATAAGCGCCGAATCCTTAACACTACAAATTTAAAGCACTGCTTAAACAAGTAAATGGCTAATGAGGTATCCGCCCGTATCCCGGACTAGGCAGCGTCATCGCTTGTACTTACTTCAGGAATTCCATTAGATTCTTGCTCTTTTCCATACGAGCGACTGACTTGTTTACATGAACCATGATAAATAGGATGGCAGTAAGAACAACATTCGTCGAGAAATTCTATGAAAAATATGTCGAATTTTCTATTTAATTAAGCCATACTATCTAACGTACCTTAAAACATGTTTAGAACGTAACTTAGAACATGTTTAACTTTAAGTTTAATGAGTTTTGTTACATGAATATATAATATGCTACTGCGCATGAATAATTTTGGGATCGAGAATTTCTATTTGCGTTATGAATATATTTGGTTAAAAATAGTGGTCTCCTGTGTTTTCAAGAGATCACAGAATGAGGAAAATATTGATTTGGAACGTGAGCAGTTTAGATAACCTCCTCCGCAAGCCGCCCACTTTGCCTAGAATATTAATAAATTCGTATTTTTAATGAGGGGAAAGAAATTGATTGACAATCGATGAATAACAATATTACGAAGGGAGAAAACGAGAAAAGAGTCCTCTGTGCAATCCTCTCATTCAAATTTTCCCGAAGTTGATGGAAATTGCCAGTTTATTGACAGACGAATAGAAAGCAATAATATATCTTCTCTTCAGACTCGGACCTCTGTCCTACATTGAACTGTTTGGACAACACGTAGTATACCCATTTGGGCCAGCCATCGATGTGGTCAAGGTCGTATCGACTGGGGTTTGTAGGGGGTGTACCCCCAATATCTGTTCAAAAGTGGTAAAAATTTCGAATTATTATAAGAGCACTGACAGATTAACGTGGAAGTAAAGATGAACGCAAGCTGTATTTCCGGTCTTTCTGAGGTCCAAATATTCAAAATTTGAAACGTAACGTAAAACGTAATTTTGAAAAATTAGTTAACTTGGTCCCCTACACCCCCCTCCCACCACCACTAAGTCTTCGCTACCGTACGTCCTGGTTGAGGTGGTCTGCATTCTTGATTATAAAGACAGGAATTTTCAATCTGAACAAAGTTTGATAGGGGACGTGCATGCAGATTGTACTCTTGAAGTATCTTATTGATGACAAAACTTATTCTTCCTTTCGTTCGATTCTTCCGATATTCGTTTTGACTTACGCGGTTGGTCGTTTTATTGCATAAACCGCTCATCGTATTTGTCGAGCCGAACAATCTGAATTCGGCAGTGTGTTCGAAATACCTCTGAAAGCGCACAGACCAAAGTGAAGAAGGTTATTATTGACAATAATTAGTCTATTATATATTTCATCAAATATACCCAATACAGATGATAATGAATGCCATTGTTGCGAAGTTACATTTAAGTATTGTTTGGACTATTAAACTGAACCAGTTATTATTGCTAATTATCTTGCTGTATCAACTACATCTATATAATTTGACTATTTGCAGTGTATACTTTTAAATCTAACCTTACCTTTAGGTACATGGTGATAAAATCTCCTCAAAAACCTTCGTGCAAAGAGCAAACGTATACTGTTTGATAGGAAAAACTCTGTTACTTATATATGCATGTAGTTCCAAAACTCTTTGTTTAAACTTGTACATCCTTTAAATGAACTCATGCACCACATTCAAATTTTTTTTGCGTTAATTAGTGCGTGAGCGGCAACCTGTTTCACAGGGTCTCACCTCCGCCACGCCCCCCTAACACCTGGAGGTGAGACACTGGGATCGAGGTTGTGTGAGCGGGCATGTTGTAAAACATGGACTGGACCTTGGACTGGACTGGACTTGTAAACTATGGACTGGACTTGTAAAACATGGACTGGACTTGTAAAACATGGACTTGTAAAACATGGACTTGTAAAACATGGACTTGTAAAACATGGACTTGTAAAACATGGACTTGTAAAACATGGACTTGTAAAACATGGACTTGTAAAACATGGACTTGTAAAACATGGATTTGTAAAACATGGACTTGTAAAACATGGACTTGTAAAACATGGACTTGTAAAACATGGACTTGTAAAACATGGACTTGTAAAACATGGACTTGTAAAACATGGACCTGTAAAACATGGACTTGTAAAACATGACTTGATCTTCGAGCGAATTTATTATCGATGATATGTTTCTCTATATGTAGGCCTACACCTATAGAGAGAAACAGGTAAAAATACACGAATTATTCTGCGAGTGTGCTCGCTTGCCCCTTGCCCCCACCTTATTTTGCCCCCGGAATTGGACAGACAATAACGAAATAGATTGGACCGTGTCAACATAATTTATATAACTTCGAAAATATTTAATCCTTTTTTGCATATCCGGATGTTAATTAAATAGTTTTTTAACTAACATTTTGACAAAAACGTCCACTATTTGCATGGCATGCATTTTCTATCATAGAATGTTCTAATAAAGCTAAATTCGGTTGCAATTGAATATGAATTTCGATAGACATAGTTCACTAACTAAACAAAACAAAACGAAACTCATAACAAAACCGTTCATTGTCCTTAGCGCCTAGCAAATATTACTAGTAATCCATTATTAAATAATCGTATCCGTGTGCATGAAAGGAAAGCTTAGCTGTAGTAATGTCCGCAAACGGAATTTGCCAACACACTAGTCAATCAACTGATCGAGTCAAGATCTATATACATATGTTATGATCTGGGAACTCGATGATGAATTTCAGTCAATGATTGTCAAGGCCAAGAGATCGAAT